TATCACCAGTGATAATGCCTTGGGTGCAATCCCGAAACCTCTGGAGCCTCCCTTGAATACTATTGACACTGATAAAATCACCATCCATTGAATGTAAAAGGCAGCTTTACTTTACGTGGAACAGCTTACATTCTTCAACACCATCAAACAAGAAAATCTGCCTCTCCCAGGTCCATAGGAAGGACTGAATAAATAGACAAAAATGGCAAATCCAGTCTAAACATCTGATTTTCTGTGCAATCAACCATAATTCTAATTTCCCATCACTTGGCTGACAATGTTGTTCATCTTACCAAAATCTTGACTTTCAAAGAGTAGGTTTAAAATGGTTATTGGAACAACATCTAATATTGTTATGTGGGACTTATACATATTGGACGTTACAGATGGTAACCATCATTTCGAATTGTGTAGTGAAGCCAGTGAAACTCATGGAGGAATGGCGTTACAGGGAATATATTTTGAAAGGCCCAAAATTGCTATGCTGCTGCATTCTGGTTGCAGTTCCTGAGTACTCTTCAAGCATAGTTCCATGCAACGAGCATTAGAATAATTCAAATGGGAGGTCACTAAGGCACGAATTACTGTAAGTTGAACCCCCCCAATTAAAAAATAAGTATAATTAGCATACAAGATGCACCTGTATGAAGGTCTTCCTAGCCATAGCAGCTACCTGCTTCTTGAGCAAGAGCTTTGAGTCTAAGATAGAAAGGATAGAAAGTCTCCTGGTTCAAAAGTTTAAAATCCAAAGCTGCTGGGACTTGTCAGGGTTGGGATGTGTTCCATATTAGCAGGCTTGAAACCCTGCATTCCTATTGGTCAACAAAGAGAGCTACCTGATTGGACAGCCAAGACGGCTGTGATTGGCTCGCTAAGAGTCTACCGCGATTGGATGAAACCAATCGCGGGAAACTGAAAGCGATGTCATTGGCAGCCTAGCCGCGGCCAGCTCTATAAAAAGAGCTGCCGCGAGCCCTGTTTTTTACTCAGATCTAGCCTGTAAATAAAGAGCTGTTGTTCACTTATTCTGAGTCTCTCTTCTCTATGAGCCCGACCTTCCGAACTTAACAGGATGAAACCTGTGATTCTCCCTTGACCCCCTCATAGCCTCCAGACAATGGGAAAGAACCTTGCTGACAGCCCTTGGTTAACTCAAGACAAAGATGTACATTGGGTAATCATCAGAATACTGATTATATCTCATACCATGTCAATAGATAACTTCATCCAGTAGCTTCATAGAGAGTAGAGGGGAGTATGGGAAGTACTGGTAAGCACCCCACAAATAGGGGCTTGGGTTTGATCTCTCCCCTCTTACCAACACTCACTGGGGAACCAGCCATAGAAAAAGTAGGAGAATCAACACAGTACTCTTGCTCTTAATTCCCTGAACCAGGCAAGAAGAATGCCACAAATTAGGGTTCTAAAAGCTACTGAAAGATCAAGGAAGTCCAAGATGGATGCCGACTGTAGCATAAGTACTCAGTATCATAAGCATTTCATAACCAACTCAGCCACAGACTCAACAGATTAGATTAGGAGGTTACTAGGCAGCAGGGAGGCTGCTTCACTAGAAATAATCTCATCTAATCTCTGTAACTCAACTTTACAAACAGGTTTTCATAGCTGGTTATCTGCAGAGCAGAGCCTCTAGCAGGGGTATCCAATTAAGGGCCTACAGACCGGATGCATCATGTGCAGGCCACGACCACCCCAGCTCTGTGAATGGGAAAAAGGTCACGAAACATCATGTGATGGCAATGTGATGCCACAAGTTTGACACCCGTGCCCTAAAGCCATCAGGTTTCTCACTTAATAATTGCTTTATCAGCAGTAGTAAATCTCTGTATTAATCAGTAATAGGCTAGCAATCTTTCTGCCTGTGTTGTAAAAATGACATAACCTGTCATTTATATTATCTGTGGAAAATAATTAATTTTGAGTTACAGTAATTGTTTTTCAATCAGTCTGTCCTGGATGATTACTATCAAAAAAATATAGGCATTCTTGCCAAGGTAGTACACAATGACAAACTGGAAAAGAGCCATGATTACATCATCTTTAACTCATTAGAGAAAATATTAGGATTTTTTAAAGGAAGAAATGATAGCAATGATTATATTCTGATTAATGAACAACACTAAGCCGTAATTATTGGTAAGTGTCCACAGACATTTTGCCTATGGAGACACATGTTAGATTATGTCTTGGCTTTCAAAATAGCTTGAAAAGTAAATCTTGTAAAACATCAGGGAAAGCTCTAGAAAATATGTTAGATTTCCCAAAGGATTTCATTTATTATTTTCTTTTACCAATGGCTGGCCGGCTTGTTTGTCCTTGGAACTATCCCTTTAAAACTATTGAATCATGGTGGTAATTCATTTGATTGATACAGTTAGTTAGATTTAGCTCCAAATCTATTTGGGGGGGGGGGTACCTCAAGGCTCTATACTCTCTCAATACCTATTTAAGAGCAACATGAAACTGCTGGGGTGAGGAAACTCATGGTCAAGCAACATCAATATTAATATTACCCAGTTATTCATCTCAAGAAGCTATGAGGGCATAGATAGGGAAGAACAGGGTTTGGCGGAATCCAAGTAAAACCAAGTGGTTATGGGCTTGTAATCTCCAGATTTAAGAGCCACACCATCTTTAGTTCTGGTTGGGGTTGCATTCTCTCAGACAGAACTGGCACATAATTGTTGGCCCTCTTGGATCTGGCTCAGTGGTGAGAACCATCCCTGTCCTATTGTTTCTTTTATTTTTTTTATTTTTCTTATAAGTATCCATGTATTCATAACTATGTTTTTACTTATACCTATTATCTTGTAAGCAATTGACAAAAATAAATAAATAAAAATAAATAAAAAAAATAAAAAAAAAATAATTAAGGTAGAACTAAAACTCACAATCTGTTGGTTTAGAGCCTAATACCTTAACCACTACAGCAAATTGGGTCTGAGAAGCATTTTATGTTAATCTCCACACATTTGATTTTTTGGGATCTTTTCAGAAGTCATCTCTGTAACTTTTCACTTACTGTGTACACTTGATTTATAAATAATTTAGGCACATATATCACACTGCCACTTTGGAGCCCGAGAAGTGTAAGTAGGTACTCATGGATGTAAATTATATGTCATGGATACAGATTGTACTTAGGAGGAGAAGGAGATGAAGATGAAGCAATAATGAAATTTAACATAATCACCTGTAGAGATTTTTTCTCCAATTATCTGCCTCTGATGTTCTTTCACATTAAAAAAAATCTGAAAACTCAGCTGCTCGTTGTGCTTGCACCAGAGGTGGTATTCAGCAGGTTCTGATCAGTTCTGGAGAACCGGTAGCAGAAATTTTGAGTAGTTTGGAGAACCAGCAAATACCACCTCTGACTGGAAATTTTACAGTAACCTTCCCCTGCCACGCCCACCAAGCCACGCCCATGGAGCCGGTGGTAAAAACAAAATTGAATCCCACCATTGGCTTGCACCCATTAACATTTAATCTCCCTTCGCACTGCTTTTGTGTGAGTACAGGAACAAAAAGAAGTAAAAAAAATGTAGTCTTGTCTTGGGTTTAGCAAATACAGTTAAGGGGCATTGGTGGAAAAAAACGTTCTTTTTGCCTTCTTCTCCATTGAAAAAGGTATCAGGATGTACCAAAATCCTGTCGTCCCCCCATTCTGTGTTGTATGAATTGCTTTGTGCTCTGACTTGTTTGAAGTCTCCCATAATGCATGAAACCTTTGAATTGTGCAGATTGAATGTGTATTTCTCAGGTAAAAATCCAGTAATTGATATAAGGGTCTACATCAGCAGTCCCCAACCTTTCTGCCTTGGCAGCCTGGTATGAGATGGGGAAGAGGGGAATTGTTCTGTACAGTCAATTTACATACTCGTAGCCCCGCGTCGCGATTG